GGATGAACGTTGACGGTTATAATAAAAATGCAAACTGAAAGGCATCATTTATAAATATTTTATTCAAATGCACAATATAATGAAGACAGATTGCCTAATCATATACTTTAACATGTTGACTTTATGCATATATTACCATTCGTCAGTTTTCATATGTAAAGAAATAAATACTGAGGATGATATTTTATGAGTAACATTATACTAACAAGAGACTATGCTAACGGTTTATACTCCAATGTATATCGTCAACTATATAATATAGCAATAAGGAACGAATATCATTACATTTTCTTATGCATAAACGAACAAATGAAAACAATTTTGCCATCTTATTACAACAATAACTCGCCATTAACTAAAATCGAAAGGAGTTATCCATTTGTAATATTGAATAAAATATCCCATTTTATAACAAAAAAAATGGTTAAAAGTTAGTTATTTACTGAATTAAATATCAGTTTTTATTCAAAAACTCGTATAAAGCCAGCGTGAATTTATAAATGACATAAACAAAGCCCTTCGCTATTATAAACTGACTCACGGAACTAAAATGACTAACTGTACAATTATGTAAAAAATATAACATGATGATATAATACTTATCCTTATATTATGATAATTATGTTAATTATAACATGTTTAAAATTTACATGCAATTTAAATATGAAATTTATTATCATTTGTTAAAGGATTAATATAAGCTTTAAAGCTTGTTTCCAAATCCATTTAATTTATTATGCACTGCGTGCATATTGTGATTAATTATATGTTAATAAATACTATTTAAATCAAAATATATGTTTATTTCCATTTTAAATATTGTAAAATGACCTCTTGTTACAAAGAAACGTCGACTGTGTCTGAATGTAAACAAAAAAAAACTTTCAATATTTTAATTAATTTTTCTGTCTGCGATATCACCCTAGACGGAAGCAGACGTTAACCCCCATAAAGCAAGCAAACACTCTTAATACCACGGAATATCTTCAAATCAGTCATTACACAAAATGTTTACAATCTGATTAAGGTCCCACTAACACGACAAATTCACCCAATTTGCTTTATTTAAATACAAGTAACCAGAAACTCGTTCATATACTTTCGCTGTTGTATTTACTATTTAAAATATGAATGCATGTGAAATGAACCAAAACCACCGTTTTATTTATCCATTTATAGATTCCGCTTCTTGGTTATTAGATAATATTTGATTAGATATAATATTTTAACTGAATATGGACAATGACACTAATTATATTCCTGATAATATAGTCATTTATCGTATGTAAAATAACAAATTAATACGTCATGTAATTAATGCGGCCTGAATTTTAATTGGTAATGTGATAAAAATAAATTAGATTATTTATATATTGACAATACATAACACATGGACATATAATTTTAGAATTGTTTTTCTTTTCTTTTTTGTCTGGTTAAAATTTGTAATTTGAGCATGGTGATCAATAATTGATTTCAATAACACTATTAATAAAATGTGAAAAGAATATTATTTATGTGTTTTATTGCTCTACCAAAACTATTTTCTGTATTATTTATTTTTTCTTGCAATATTATTTGGTAAAATATCAAAAAATAATATAATGCTGTAATGTCACTAATAATGGTAATTCTATTTAGCTGAAGACAGTGATGTGTTACTCGTTCTAAAACATCTCATGACACTTCGTATGCCCAACAATTGTTGTAGGCCTACGTTTATACTAATGGTAAATACTCTACAAACAGCAAGTAACGTGGTAACGGTAAATATTCCAGACCTACAGGTAAAAATATACTTAGTAGTCCTCCTAAAATATATATTGGTTGAAATCACTAAAATCGATCCATCCTATGGTAAGTCGTGTCATTACGTACTTTCTATTGATATCACAGCGTAATTTGTATATTCTGGGTACGACTGTGGTAGAACTCATTTCTATCTATGAACATCGAGTTCAAAATATTATCTTACCCAGGTTTGGGTTTTTTAAAAATAGTTTGAATTAGTGCCTACTACTTATCAATACTTTCCAACTCTTATTTTTCTAAATACCGACAATGGTCATGTCTTCTGGAGCGTAGCGGCTTAAAAAAATAAAATAATATAAGACCACTTAGCATTCTAAATTTACTATCACCAATAAATATATCTCTTGATAAAGACCAGAAAATCCGTGTCTTAATGTCGCTCAGTAATAAGCAGTGTATGTAATCCATTGAATCATGACCAGTCCTGTGTATAAAAAAATGTAATCATAGACTTATCGAAATTCCTGATATGAAATGAAATGGGGTTTAACGTCCTACTTTTTCCATTGAAAATCCCTGGAAAAGTGTACAACTTCTACATTTACATCAATGGCTGACTTTTTTGTTTTAAACTCTGCATTCAATCCAATTTGATCACATATAGTCAAATAACGCCAGATCATCGAAAATTACTTTTCTTTACCAAACGACCAAGATCACTAATGAAAGTGTCGTTTAGTGCATTTTTCATTTTATATAATTTTCATTTTGGGTAATAAAACATTATTATGAAAACAAAAATCAACAAGCAGTAAAAAATATTACTATTCTGTTTCAATAAAGTTTAAAAGATCATATGTTTGAAGTCTATAAGATCAATATATGATTGATATTTGATCAGTTAAAGTTATTGATATGTTGGTTTAGATCAATGTTATGTGGTGTGTTAATAGGGTGAGTGGGGATTAAAGAAAAGCGATCACATTAATCTCATTCTGTCAGGAGTTATTGATCGGTTTTAATCGCCATATTTTACCTGTTAAGATCTATAAGGTGTGACTAGGTACAAATCTGTTACTTCTTTAATGCCTTAAACCTCCCCACCTTGACACATTCAATTGTACCCTGTCTCTTTAAATTAGATAAATCTGCTCTGATCCGCTCATAACACACGCTTTCCTTCACACCAATACCGCTTTTATTGTCGGTGTTCTTTCATATTTCAACCGTAACGGCTCATGTCGCTATGAAGTCACATGAGCGTGTGTAAATTTAAATGGCGTGTTGGCGGTTCCGGTTAAGTTCATAACTTTTATCCAAGCTTGTAGCGTGAAATCTCCAAGTGTTGCAATGATGTCAAATCAATTTAGAGGTTTAGGTTATGTCGTTCCGCTACATCGAGAGTATTTCAGCTAAAACAAATCTTATAAACCGAGTGAAAGACAAGTTCACTGGTGTTTTTAAATGCTTGATTTCATCCCGCTCAGACCAAGCCGTTTCAACTATTTTTATTTACCATCCTTTGGAAACATAAATATTCATTATTCTTAAAGTAAGTCTTGTATCAAGACAGTTTACTGTGTTCACTTGCTCTTTAAGTAGTTTAAAAAAAATTAACGATATTTCTGTAGGAGTAACCATGCTTACTTTTGGGTAGTAATCGATGACAGGGGGAAATAATGCAGCTGGAATTGTATGGATTAAGACTAATAATTGCGCTTATTTATAGAATTCCCTCTTTCTCCCTTTACGCTCAATTTGAATTGACTTTTAGGTCTAGAATCGAAGAAGAATGATTTAATCGACCTTTTCTGACAGGTTTTGGTGAATAGTCATGATTTTGAGGAGGAAGGAACCCGAAGAAAACAGACACGAATTAAGGACATCATGTAGAAAAGTGACACCAGAGCCTATAGATTCCTTTGAACCAAATATCGCGATGGTCAACCCCCTTCAGTTATCATCAGATGATTGCGACATGTTGGGCTCTTTATGTTAATAAAGATTAAGATCGTCGGAATATTCAAAAAATGATATAGGCCAGGAAATGGCAAAGATGTCACATTATTAGCCTGATACCGTATGTTTCACTTAAAATATATTAGACTTTGCATGTTGGGTATATTGGACATACAGGTCAACCCTTTTTATGAATGTTGACATATTGTGCATTTTCAAATTAAAGATGTTTGACCCCCACGAGGACGTAAGCTGTCCAGATCTCGACTGCTAAATAAAAGTTTATGTGGTTTCTAAATCAAATACTCTTTTTCAAATGATGTTTTGCGCTTTGCTTCCAGAACACGTGCACTCGATAGTAAAATTAAAAAAAAAAAACGTTGATGTCTGAAGTGAACGAATCACAAATATTAATCAGCAATTTATCAAAGCGATTGTCACTATCAAACATGAATTCGCATCATTAACTGTAACACGTTTTGTAACTTTAACTTTTTCACGTCATTCTGGATTTCTTCCCCATTTTTTCAATTTCACCCGAAAATTACCAGAGAACTAAATTAAGTTTGATTGTCAATTTTTTTTGAGAAATGACGTGGGTACTGGAACGTATCTAGGTCGCAGATTAATTCTTTTGAAGAAAGTGGATAAGCTAATTCTCGTGGGAATCAAACACGATTGGGAATATTTTTCTGTAGCGATGATACAGGAGGTTGTCAACATTGCTGCCTTTCTGGCAATGCAAGATTTACATCGTCAAATATGTTTAATTTAATGGTCAGAGAACGTCAAGTTACAATCTGTTGTATACAGTTCCATTTATACCTTTGATATGATAAGTTGTGAAATTTTTAGCTGTTTTAAAATGAACTAGGTGTAGACGTAAGCTATCTGGAAAAGGGTGGTCGTGAATATTATAATAATATAGACAAGCTGTTAATTGACGCGAGTAAAATGATATAGAACCACTGAATATTAAGAAAAAATGGAAATATGCAAATTAATAATAATAATAAAAATAAAATACGACATCAAACCAAAGATTTGAATAAGTGATGAAATGAAGCAACAAGATAAATCATTTCACGAGGCCAAACCGGGTACCAAATCAAACCGCGACACCAGTATTATCATCCAGTTTATTGGTGTCAATTCAGTGAACGTCTGACTATATATTCGTGCAATCCCTATGGGTGACTGCCTAAAATCGTCACCCTTATTGTCAACGAAGGCCTCTGCTATAAGATTTTAAACAAAATAAAAAAAAAAGAACAAAGAAAGCGAGGATGTTTATACCAATATACACGTACTTTTACTTTACGGTATCTACCTGTGCTTACAATATATCTTTCATCTTTTTAACAATGTGTTTATCGGATTACCGACCTTCTTTTACTTTCTTTTGTTAACCTTAAAATCCAATTTATCTGAACTGTTTGTTGTAAATCGTGTGTGTCACCTATCTGCTGGAAGTACAACAAACAAATTCGTTAGGTAACATTCACTGGTATAGAAAAGAATCAAATCGCATTGAGGATGGGAACTTTAGAAATTGGTTAACAGGTGGTGATTTGTCATTCATATTCCTTTGTATTTCAAATATTTCTATTTTGTACCATGACCGTATACGTTTTCTAGAACAAGGCGTATGTCCATCCCAATATATCGATATACAATAAATATAATATTAGTTATGTGAAGTTCCATAATGAATCACTGGAATAGAATTGGGTTTAATGCCTGTCAACACAACACTCCGGTCATCTTGAAACATATGTTTATTGATAGGTGTGCAATGGAAGAAGGTAAGCTTGGGTTAGTAAACATCAGCTGAGTATAAAAAATGTTAAAAGATGCATTATGTAAGAGCTTAATCTGCCCCTTGCAGTTCTTTTTTTTGGCTCTTCAAATGTAATATAAACTATTATGCAGACATTTAGTCACATGACAAGGGTTTAATCAACGCTCTAAATCACTGGATGACCAAAATGAAAAGACGGTCTCCATTTAATGATTTAATTTAAAAATGGCGAAGCAAGGCTAAGTCTCGAATAACAGGTACCGTTGTGAAGATAATAAACAATCTATGCCCTGTGTTGTCAAAACCACGAAGAGTGATAACCTCGCTCAGAATAAAGCAATTTGAATAAAATTTTCAAAATGTTTATTTTGCATTAACTATTTTTGAACTAGTATAGCAAGAACGACTAACTCTTTATCTAAATCTTACATAATGCATCTTTAAACAGAAATTACGCCACCTTCTGTTCATGTTTTAGATAACTGACATTTTCCGCCGTTAATTCCCATAAGAAATAACAAATCAACATTTTATTTTCTTATAATAAATTTACACCATTCCCTCAGAAACAACCACTGTTCCACCGTTCACCTAAATGACATCCAATCCAGTCTGCTATCCCAGTTCATATAATATGTATTATTATTAACACACCATTAGTAACGACGGGTGTCATGTACGAAGCAGGATGCACTTACATTATATCTACCGATAGCACTTCTCATTTGAGGTGTTCACATCGCTAACATACTTTGCTACATTTTTAGTGTACACCACCTAGATAATTATTGATCTCTATTTCGATGTTCCACCCCTCTGTTAAAACACCACCTTGTCCCAGCCTGCTGTATATCGGTTTATATTAGATCGTATTGGACTACATTCACAATAAGCACATCAAAGACTCAAGTTCTTCTTTCAACTTGATTTAAGTCGACCGACATGTTGAAGAAAACTGTTTGAAGTTTCAAGTCTCTAAACGAAGTAAAGTTATATTATAAGCCAGCTTTATTACTGATGTAAATAAACGCTCTCTTTACTTTAACTTCGCTTTATTTAAACACAAAATCTCTAAACGTGTCGGATATCAGAAGCGATTTATAACCCCAGACAGGCGGTTAGGTGAAAAATATCGTTGACGCTTTGTATCTTTTCAATCCTCTCAGGAAAAAATTGGGCGAGGAGCGAAACTCATTCCTATCATATCCTTATTTTTTGTGCAGAGAAAACGTTCTTCAAGTGCGAATGCGGTGTTTCTGTATCGCCGTAGTCGACCGTAGTCCCAACGTGGGCCCATAAGAGCCTTTTCAGGGGCGACGCAACGTGGGGCAGGCAAAAAGGTGTGCCTAGTGTTACGGATTGGACCAAACATCCAAGGTCTGTGCAGATTAATGACATTTATGGGGGGGGGGGGGTGTAACACGAAGGTCTGGCATTGAGTCAAGTAGCGTGGTTTCGATTCCAAGCCTGTACGTGACAAGGAATAGAGTCATCTGTCCAACCTCGTGGGTCTTCTCCGGGTCCTCCCACTGCTAAAGACCCCTACGCGCATGCGAATTGATGAAATAACATTGAACCATGTGTTATTACTGAAATGACCTAGTTTGTGTCGATTGGACGTTAAACCCCATTATCTCTCTCTCTCTCTCGCTCTCTCTAGACATTTGGAATAAGAAGAAGAATAGGGAACACCGTTGTCCGGGTACTTTTCTTCTACTTCGCAATTCACACCTAACCATAGAAATAGAAGAATACCATGCTTGTCTCAAATGACCGAAGCATTGTGATGACATTTTGTCACATTCTAATCTCTTACATGTAAGAAATACATGTAAGAGTCACGGTGGCCCAGTGAGAAAGGTGCAGGCTTACTAACCAGGTCGTCCCGGGTTTCACTTCCGCATATTTATAATACACGTGAATAGCAAATATAAACAAAATTCATTTTAAATTCAAACTCCCTTCTCAGCAGATATTCCCTGAATCCCAAGTACTGTAATTTTATTACTTACATTATGTATTCATTGACCTATAATAACCTCATTAATTAATAATTATGTCCTGCCTCTTTTCAGATTGATATTTCTGCTCTAATATTTATTCGGTACTATTATCAAATACTTTTCATTAATTATGAACTTAATTTACTTAGTAAAATGGGCCAAAATTAAATGACTGTCCGTGTGGAGATCCCAGAAGTGTATTTGCCTCCTTGCTACGCCACTGCTCCGAACCTGGAGTGATTCGACTCCAACATCCACAAAGGCTTATTTACTGGTACTCTTATTAAGGTGCATTAAATGAATACAGCCTCCTATAAAAAACACAAACTAATCAAATTTGTATCTAGATTTTATATTGTTTTAAAATATTTCATTCATAACAAAAAGCAAAAAATAACAATTCAGCACTTTGGAGATATCTATTCACTGAAGATACAATATTGAAATCTTTGTGAAAATTGTCCAGGCAATCAAACTGTCTCTCTTCGATTCGAATCACTGGTTCTATTACAAATTCCTTGTTATTAAACCATTTATCCATTTCAGTATAGTTTTCATGATTGTGTAAATCAGACTATTTAAAACCAGATTAATATTTCAGTATTTTTCAGTTGTTCTTTAAAGAGCGCGTCCAGTAACGAATAGATTGTGATTGGTCGACTGCAAATCAACCTACCAATCAAAACCCGTAATACAGAAAAGGCGTTCGTTATCTGACATCTGAATGGTTTGTCTCTTCATAGTATTATGCTGTATAGTGTATTCACTATTCGAGAAAGGCATAATACATGTACATGAAACGGAAATATCATCGTATTTTAATAACACGTTTTCGCTGTTATTTTCACTTTAAAATTCAGTTCTCTTCCTTGTACAAATTACTTAATACAAGTTCGAAATCAGCGTCATTTTCACGTTTCGAATTCCATTTAATTCTCCTCGTTGTCCAATTTTTCTAAATCAATATCATCTGAAATATCTGATTCGACATCAACATCGACATCTTCGTCGTCAGTCATGTGACCAGAATCGTCGTCACTCGCAGAGGATTTCACACTTGCAGCACGTTTTCCGTCGTGAGTTTTCACATGTTTACTTAAATGATCACTCCTCATGAACCGTTTACCGCATTCTTGACATGCGAATCGTTTTTCTCCTGTATGTGTCCGAAGATGTCTTTGAAGTTCATCAGAACGGGTGAAGCTTTTTCCACAAAATAACCAGTTGCACACAAACGGTCGTTCACCACTGTGCCAGCGAAGATGAGCCTTTAGATGGGACGTTTTCCCATAAACTTTGCCACAGCCGGGAATATGACAAATATGTTGCTTCCGTTTAGACGGATTACCAGAATTTGTTGCGTTCTGGCAATTTGGACAACGACATCTACGACATCGTCTCGTTGGGGCTATCGTAGATTTTAATCCGTGAATAACGCTTGCAAGATGAAGATCACCTGGGGAGTTCTGGTTAAAGACTAAATTTGTTGAAATCGGAAATCTATCTTGGGCCTGGTTTGGTGAATGGACACTCCACCAAGGTATATCTGCTTCCGAAGTGGGCGGGGGTGAAAGTTGCTTGGTCAGTGGCGTCATAGAAATGATACCTGACCCAGGAGATGTGGGTCCAACAGACATGGGGATGGAATTTGGTGGGAAACCTTGTCCTGCTGCGATAATGTTTTGCTGAATCATTCTGTTCTGGTACATCTCGTAATTAAATGCAGGGGATGTTCTTGGGGCAGGGATTCGCAGATTCATGTTATTGCTTGGGAGAGCAATTGGGTGCTGAATTGTTGATTTCTGGTTAACCATCTCATGGTATGGGCTTAAATGATGTTGAGGGTGGCCGTGCCAACTTCCATGCATAGGCAAAAATGGAAGTGGTTTCTGTATTTCTGGACCTTGAATGTTAACTCGTCCACAACCGGACGCCAGCATTGATAATGGAGATCTATGCATCATATCAATAGGCTCCTGAAAAATAAAAAAATGATCATTTGTTAAAAGAATGAAAGAATAATTAAAATTGTATCAAATACTATAAACAAAATATTATAACCCCAGGAAATCAGTGAAATATAGTGCACGGTCTAACCAGATTCCCACACCCCACATGTAATGCTAACTGTGGGCAAAGACGATAGCCAATTTATTTTCAATAGTAGCCGGTGCATAAAACATGACACAACTTTTCATTTGATGATTGCATGAATACGTATTTTCTGTAGTAACTCTTTATTCCAAAAATAAAAACCTGTCGCTTCAACGGAGACCTTGTCGGCGAGATCACTTTGGGGAAAGCGGTCGTTAAATAAAGCTATGTCACACACAAATGGGATTAAGGCTTATATTAATGAACAAATCCGGTTAATTACGTAATAAAAACTTTGAGTTCCTATAAACAGTTGGTTGGAAGTTCCAAAATTCCATACTAATAAATGCCTGAATAAGTGTGTCTTGAATTTGTGATCACGATCATCAATTCACTCATTCAAAATTTAAGTGAGCAATGAGATTATTTAAATGAGTTACATAACCCTATTAAGCAAATCTTGCGATCTTTTCCAGACGACTCATTATTTTGATTTCGTACAATGTACATGTAATTTGTATACAATTACATTTATTGTGGTCGTGGAAGGGGCAACGAGGAGTAGAATTCTACCCATAAAAATAGAGTATTCAATCTAAGAAAGGTGAAATTTAAGAATTGTTTCCCTAGCCGACACCACAGTACTTCAATCCGTATTTTGCTAGAAGTAAAAAGTAAAATAAAAGGAGAAATAGAAACACAATTGAAACAGGGGATCAGCAACACATGAACAACATATTTAAGTAGAAAAAAATTCTTCTTTGAAGATGCCAATTGAAAGAAAAGTTTAAAGACGACTGCATGTGTGAAAATAGTGTAATTATTTCCTTTAGTAAGTTTAGATAGAACTTCACTGACTCTTAGGTCACCTAACATATGATTAAATTCTCAGGTGTCTTACACCTGTGCTGAGAGTATTAACATGTACACCATCTAAACATAGAAACATATTGTTATGTAATATATCCTAACTTCATATAATATATTATGTTTCTCATTTTATTGCCTTGTACATGATTATTTCATATTATAATATAATGTTACATATTTTAAAAACTTTTTGGGGGGATAATATATATACGTTTTTTTCGAATTTGTTAATAGCATTCATTGTAATATGTATTTTTTACGCCTAAATATTAACTATCGAATTTCTAGTTCCATGGCACATCATCGTTTTCCATTTGTTTCATTTGAAATATTATATAACAGGGGTTTAATTTTTTTTAATTTTATGATATACAATAAAAGTATTCTAATGATATTAACTTTCTGATTTTATCAAATATATTTCAGTTTTTATAAAATACACCAGTTTTCATAGCATAATATTTTAACTTATTAAATTTAAGTTATGATATTTTTAATTTAGCATCCATTTTTCAGTGCAAGATAATTTTTTTAGCCTCCATATTTCAACGTAAGATAATGTTTTCTATTAGTATTATTCACACTTTAATAACATTCACTATAGTAGGCAATCACATAATATGACCACATGAACTGTGTTTTAAAACGAAATTCAAATTTATTTTTTTATTTAAAGAAGGATGATACTCCGTGTTTCATCCTAACTAATAAAAACACCGCAAGTCAGATCGTTCACAAGTTTGTCAAAAAAAAAAATGTGTACTATTTTAATGCAAAGACTGCTGTTATTATATGCTTAAGTGATTCTGATTACAATTATTTTATTTTCTTTGTTTTACACACATACAGATAACGGAAAGCTTTAACGGGGCTTTAGATATGGGTATATACACATTCCACAGTAGAATTATATATAATGCTACTTTAAAATTAATTATGTACATTATATTGCAACTATCCACAATCAATTGTGCATATTATGTACAATGCTACTAATTGTACATGTATAAAGTTATTATTTACAATTAATTGTGTATTTTGCTACTGTTCACAATTAATTATGTATAATGCTAATTATGTACATGTCTAATGCAACTCTCCGCAATTAGCAATGTATAATGCAACTATGTCGTATATAAAGATAAGATCTGGTCAATTTTATCATCAAGGACAACAAATATTTCATTAATTCACTGTTTTGTCCACGACGAACATTAATTACTGGATTTGCCAAGTTATGAACGTATTATGTAGTAATTATGGCCTGGGAGTGACCATTATTTCTCAGTTTATTTATTTCATGTTTAGATACACTTGCATATGAAAAATTGTTATAAATTAACCAGATGTTTTGTTTTTGGTCCGATGATGTAATTATATTATGTATACAGGACCTGTACTGCTTGTGTAACATCTTGTCGTATTGAGGCAATGTTAAATATGTGAGTATTATATAATACCATGTATTACATCCTCGTGTTGTGTATAAATTAATGTAATAACGCATTATTGTCCTAACATAATTCGATTCATTATACATTTTATTTAAGAACAATACATGAACATTTTCATAGAATACATTTATGTATTAATATATTACATGTTATTCTAAACAGGATGCATATTTCATTTTAAGAACCATTTAACATAATTGGATACGAGATAGATTTTATAAGAATTATTCAATATACATTGTTCTATCTAATATTATCAGTTATGAAATTAAATTATGCAGCATTTCAAATTAAAAACCTTCCAAGTTTTATTAATCACGTATCAATAAAATTATAGAATAAAAATGAGGAATATTTGCTTTCATATAATTCCACCGTTTATGTTTGTTATCTTTTACTGTTACATACAATTATGGACATATCTTTCGGATGTATATAGACTAGTGCCGAGATATGGTTTTCCTAACAGAATCGTCGAAACCTGTCTGAAGCAATTTTAAGGTGTGGTAGGAGTCGTAACGACTTTTAAGAGTTTTCTATTTTGGGGTTTATGACGTTTGCTTGCCCCCCCCCCTCACTCCCCCCTCACACACACACACACATTGATATAGCAGACAAACAAGAATACTGAATTGACAGTCACTGCATTAAATGCCAGTTATGCCGCGATTACCATTTTGGGGGTCGGTTATCTTACGAAGTATCCTGCATGTTCAGAACAAAATACATTCTGGATTACCACACCGTGGAAGTCAATTACACATCTAGTTCAGTAATTAAACAAATCTCATTGTGAATCGGCAGAATGATCCTTAATACCCTACATGGTTTATGCTGCCGTCTTCCAACCTCCATTATAATAATTAAAAAATAAAATCAACCAACCTGATAAATACTAAATCCATGTGGATATGCAACTGTTGCGGCCATCTTTAAGGATTTCTTAATAGGTATACTTTATAAGCTCATAGTTATGTAATAAGTTCCAATGTCAATACCCTCGGTGCACAATGTTTATAAGCTTGGATCCGTATTACGATTATGTTCTAGTGACAATTGGGTAGAGTATCCACTGTACTATAGGCGAGAGTAGTTACTATTGAGACGTGGTTGGTGTTCTGACTGATTCTCCTCGACGAGCCGAACTGTTATAAACTCTACGCTTCTAAACGTCGTCAACAACTGAAGAAAGAAAATTAAACGCGAGTATACGTTGCCTAAATTCTTAGTGAATAGGCTAAATACCTCTCCAATAAAATCTTGAATAACCCTACGGTGACGTCACGCTAGCACGCCCGTTATCTTCTAAAGTTCGCCGCCCACCAATCAGTTTGTCATTTTTCTCCTTTGATGTTCGCCGCCAGCCAATTATTAGCACAAGTCGGGTGGGTTAAAAGGAAATTAAATCCCCTCTTTCCATATGGTTCGACGCTCTACGATATTGACACTAACAATGGTGGAGATTATTTCTTGTTGTAAGAGAGGCAGTCGAGGGAGGGCAGCTAATCGCTTTTCACACAAACTTCATCAATCCGCATACATAAATAATTGGATTTTAGACATCAAAGGCGCCGACTACCCGGTGAGAGTAGCATGATTGGTGGATGTCGTCATGTGATGTGTGAATGTTGTAAATCAAAGCACTGTTGGTGTGTAAAAAGTTTGTTATTTTCTTCTACTTTCTTCATGCTTAGTTTGAGGTTAGCTCATTTTTATTTGAGAAGGTGATAAAGGCGTAGCGAGGACGACGTGAACTTGACAATGGATGATAGGAGACGAGCCGCGGGGCGAGAGCGGAAAGAAAAAATAAAACGACCTTTGGTAATAAGATTCCAAAACAAAACAATGTCCATTGAGAGATTGGGTCAGGGGTGTGAAATAACCGATAACACGTAGTCTTACATATTGTCACTTTATTCAACTTTCAATAGAACGTTCATTGATAAAATGCCACACATTGCTTGAATTCAAGCAACGCACAAAGAGAATTTCAGCGGTGAAGTCTTTGAAGACTAGTGTATACTTTCAGTTAATAAAATACATTATGGCAGCATATTGTCCTAGTAGCCGAATCTGGAAAGATTCTCGGTGTCAACATTTCCTCTAATCTCTAAAGCATGTCTTGGGAAAAGTTGAATCCACGGGCAAAATTCTCAGTGACATTTGGAATCTTCTAAAAAGGGTATAATGCATTCCTTTTAAATATACCACCATCATTTCGAAGAAAACATACAGTTTAATTCCTAGATTCTTTATTCTGGGGTTGTGACAAAGAGATTAGCAAATGTAGACGTGCTAAAAGACCCCTACGCGCAAGGGAATTATTGAAATTAAATTGAACCATATGTTAGTCCCGAAATGATCTAGTTTGGTTTCGTTTCCCCGGTTGAACGTGGCAACGAGTAAGGTCGCCTGCCCAACCTCGTGGGTTTTCTCCCGGTCCTCCGGTTTCCTCCCACTGCTAAAGACCCCTAGTAAAATATAAACGAAACCAGTTGTGATTTGACCCACAAAAAATGTCCAACAGTTAGTCATACAAATGAATTGAGTCCTCAAATATGTTGAGAAAAGAAACCAATATTTTAAGCGATTTCCAAAGAAGGAGGCACAGTTTTTCCCTTTTTTCAACTTAATTTATAAGTTAGTGCCAATATTTTGTAGTACATATGCAGCCGTATCAACCTCTACATGTGGTCTAGTTGTAACATCAACTGATTGCCTCAACCCTCCCTACATTGATTACTTGTTAACGTTTTGTTTAACACGTGCTAATGCCCCGGAGGTTTCATATACTTACAACAATCATTGAATCAAAGACAAATTCTCTCTCCACTAACAGGTGAATCAACATTTTACTTTGTTTTCTTTCTCCTTTATTTCTACACATCTTAGAAATTCATGGAATATTTGCTGGAATATCAATCTTTGGCTTCAGGCGAGATAATATCCCGTCTCTTGCATGTGTCAGTGCAATTTTCAATTTTTAAAACATGTGGATTACGTCTGCGGTTTAGAAAACCAAACGGCTGTATGTAAGGGAGGGTTTTTATTCACAAAATGCTGGTTCTATTACATGCATGTTAACATTTCAAATGGCCATGTTGTCAAATGAAATTGTCAATTTACGTGTAGTCTTTTTTTTTAGTTCTATTATAGAAATTGAAATTCGTTACATTACTGCTCATATATAAATCCAAATTCATAGCCATCAGTTTTACATCCATATTTCTGGTATAAGACAAGGTGAAGCTCTGTGTCTCGCATTATTATATTTGTGTATACATGGATTTTCAAAGACTAAGTATGCAAATATTCCAATTCCTCTGATGTACATTAAAAGGGAGCCCGTATGCAGCGTATATATATATATATACACACACATAAGAAGTCCAAATTATGCGACCTGAATATTGTAAAGTAACCCAACTTGTTTTAAGGCCTACAGAAAATTTTCTATGTCAAAACTTTCAGGTTAAAATTAAAGGTGAAAGCAGAAGAGTGACTTCTACGTTTTATTTATTCCCATGTTATTCATTGTTCAAAAATTCAAAAACGTACCAATATGACACTTTTTTTTTCGACAAAACTCCATTTTAAATGTTCTCCATACCTTTGTATTGAGATTTACTACAAATTTAAATTATCAAATCTTTTCAAATTGTATCACTCAATCTGGTTGTTAAATGTTTTAACACCCCTACTCTTGTCTTTTATAAGATCTTGTTAAATTCTTGAGTGTAAATGATTTATCACCCATTTCAATCTAATCGCAGCATTCCAAGTTAAATGGTGCCCCACCTTTCATAATAGGGCTTAGTTCGTATCTAATTATCAAATCTTGTTGTCAGTATGTTGTGCTAATTAAGTTGTAGAGAGGTGATATAAGTTACACAACTGTAGTCTACCGTAGCGTTACCTAATATTGTTTACCTGGCGCTCTCTTTGATCTTCAGATATATTACAACATTTTATCGAATGTTACCGATAAAAGGCCCGGATGCTTCTGTTGTTAACTTAGCGTGATGAGATTTACTTGATGTATTTTTACCGCACAGAAAAGTTAAACTAACATAAATAATTTCATCTGATTGCAAACAATTACCGAGAAAACGACGCAAATTAGTTTACGGTGTTTGAAGTTGCTGGCGTGACTGATTAATCCAATTCGCCAACGATCTACCGCAATCTGCTCACCACAGGGTGGTTTATTGCCAAACAAAAGGAAAACACGTTGAACATATTTAGGATAATAAACGCCATAACAAGCTGATTAAATAAGTGAATTTACTTTATTTTTTAAAAAAAATGGCAGTCTGAGGAATTAATTTATTTCAACATTTTAAAACATTGCTACATGTAATCAGCAATGTAAGATAACTGCATGGGGGGGGGGGGGGTACGCCTCCTTGACACAAACTAGGTCATTTCGGGACTAACAAATCGTTCATTGTTATTGCAGTAATTCGCTTGCGCGTAGGTGTCTTCATGCGTAGTTTTGATTCCCAGCTTGTATGTGAAAAGGAGTAGGTTCGCCTGTCCAACCTCGTGGGTTTTATCGGGGTCCTCTGGTTTCGCCCAATGACCCCTGCATGAAAGCGAATTATTGAAACAAAATTGAGCCCTTAGTCCCGAAGTGACCTAGGTTGTGTCGAATCGGCGATTAAACCCCATTTCTCCCTCTCTCTCCCTATCCCCTTTATTTCTCGAACCACAATGCTTGAACAAATAGTACCTTAAACAGTAAAGTCTAAAAAATTGTTAACTGGAACGACAGAACATTGCAAACAGTACGTCATCATCGGCAAGTTAACGCATTGTATTGTATCTTTTTTTGTGTGTTACTGGGTAATTTGGGTTATCTACAAGTATTATAAATAGATTGGAGAGTACAGATCGATGCATATCCCCAGAGCAGATGTAGCATCAAGAAAAAATAAATTATAAAGAACACACATTATGGATAACCATAAATACAATTGATGTATATTATACATTTTATAAATTAGGGTTGATTTCGTCGACTTATCGACTTGTCGCCTTTGACTTATTCACAACCGACAAGGCGACAAGTCGACGAAATACAATTATTTCGACTTGTCGTGCGGCGACTTGTCGCCTCGAAAGTTAATCTGTGCGCATGCAAGTTATCCAATCAGCAAATGCGCATGCTCGAGTTTGACAAGTCGCCGCACGACAAGTCGGCGAAATCAACCCGCCGACACGACAAAATGAAGGCGACGATCGTCGGGTTATTTTGTTGTGTCGGCGGGTTGGTTTCGTCGACTTGTCGCCTTCTTCACAAGGCGACAATTTAGATTCATTTGAATGGCCGCTAACAGCCACCATAATTGCCAGTACAATATTTAAAGGTCACCGGAAAAGGTTCATAAATTTTTTAAATAATGCAAGTAATTATGTCAACATATCCTTTCCATAAGTATAACACGAACCCGAATGTCAATATTACCTGCAACAGGTAAATTTCAACGTTAGCAATTTCCGCCATTCTCCGTGGGTAGTCGTAACTTTCCGTAAATTTGACGTCATTTTAGTCCTTCTGCTCATATTCTAGTCTATATTTCTATGTGCAGAAGGACTAAAATGACGTCACGGATTGCTTATTGACGGAAAGTTCCGACTACCGACGGAGAACGGCGGAAATTACTAATGTTGAAATTTACCTGTTGCAGGTATTATTGACGTTCGGGCTCGGGTTATACTTATGGAAAGGATATGTTGACATAATTACTTGCATTATTTAAAAAAAAAATTGATGCTTTTCCGGTGACCTTTAAGAAGTAAAACCAAAGCAAATTATCGAATTCTTTTTCTTAGAGCTAAAAAACATAGCAAACCGAAGTAAAATCACGAATCATTGCCGCAATTTCAGGAATTCGATATAGTTTGTTTTCATGGGAACAAACCAACAATCGCAGACTATTTTGAAAATAAATTTTACCTAAGTGCAATAATTTACCGTATAATTTACGCACACAGAATTAACCCACCCTGTCTTCATTATTATATATATTGACAAAGAAATTACAGTACGGGGTCAATACTAACTAGAAATATCACCAAATAAGTTTTAAAATGAATACAGATAGGAGGGATTTACTAAATATTTCGAACTAATTTTATGCTCGACTATGTAGTTTTGGTCGTAGGATTTTGTACCGTTACTAAAACTGCCGCAGATTAGAACTATTTCGTTATGGGAACGATTCCAGAAGGGGTATCCAATTGGCAATTATTTAAAGTCGAGTTAACATAGAAATAAAAGACACAACCAATACCCTTGCTTAGATTTTCTTTTCGAATTTGAACAAAACCTTAATGCGCAGCTGTATGTGAACAAGGTACGTATATTATAAACGTGACATTTCAGTTATTTGCAGCTAGATACCACAGTTAACTTGCATCTCTCATTTTACAATGCCTTTCTAGTACGTCTAACTTTTATCATCAAAGTGGTTCTGTAGGATATTTAATTGTCAGTCAGACTAAAATTCTATTTTAATACAAGAGGGTGTCATGT